ACTAGCTTAATAAATCTATCATGGGTAGGGGAGACAAAAAGCTATCATTTTCCATTCAACACTTTTCAGCTTCTATTACAATCGTTTCAGACCTATGTAACACATTCTGTATTCCATTCATCCAGAAAATAGTTATTAAGCATCTACAGAGAGCCACAGACTGTTATGAAATGAAAATACAGTAACAGCAACAATAGGGATGAACAAAAAACATTTTCACCAAAAATATGTATTATGATTATTAGGGTAAAAGCAAGAAAATAACTCAAGTCCAGAAAATATTGAAAACGGAGATTTGAGTAAGGTCCCTTCTGCCCTCCCCAATATGATCAGATTATTCTTAACATCTAAATAGTAATTATTACTCCCTCAGCCTATAAACTGGTAATAAACTCTCTGAATTGTAAAGGAGAAATCTGAAATAAGCAACTGTGTTATTTGTAATTAGATCTCTCCTACTGTTTCTTTAAGTCCCCCAAACCACCTTTAAAACCCATATCTGACGGAGTGCAGAGGCTCACATCTGTAATCCTAGCATTTTGGAAGGCTGAAGTGGGAGGATTGCTTGAGCCCAGGAGTTCGAGGCCAGCATGGGCTAAATATAGGGAGGCCTCACTTTTCAAACAAAACAAAACAGATATTTATAACAGAATTCTGGAAACTTCTCTGGGAATTAAGATGCACAGCAAAACAAGATGCAAGGCACACAGTTTTACAGTATGGATTTTCCCAGAATGGATAATAGATTCACATAAGGCTGAATTACCTAACACCTGGAAGTCTGGCAAAGAAACTGACCTGAAGCATACCATGACCTGAAAATTTAAATTATCTAATACAATTTAAATCTTTGCTTGGAAGTATAAAATGTTCAAATCTTTGTCTTTCCATCCTGAAGTAAAAAGAAGACATTTACTTTAAAGTGACCCCTTTTGTTAATATTATTTTCAAAAAAAATTTGTTTTGGGGGGTGAGCATAGAGGAATGTTGAGTCTGATCACTCAGGCTATGCCCGTATTCTATTCATTTCCTCATTTAAAGTCAACTTTTGCCCGGGCACAGTGGCTCACGCCTATAATCCCAGCACTTTGGGAGACTGAGACCAGAAGACTACCTGTGCCCAGGGTTTCAAGACCAGCCTGGGCAAATTGGCGAGACCACATCACTAAAATAAACCAAAAATTAGTTGGGTGTGGTGGAGCACACCTATAGTTCCAGCTACTTGGAAGGCTGAGGCAGAAGGCTCGTCTGAACCTAGCAGGTCAAGGCTGTGGGGGCTGTGAGTTTGCCACGGCACTCCAGCCTGGGTGACAGAGGGAGTGAGACTCCAACCCCCCAAAATAAGTAAAGTCAACTTTTTTTGGGGGGGTCTCATTCTCACCCAGGCTGAAGTGCAGAGACACAGTCATGACTCACCACAGCCTCGACCTTCTGGGCTCAGGCAAGCCTCCTGCCTCAGCCCCCTGGGTAGCTGGGACTGCAGGCATGCACCACCACACTTGGCTAATTTTTTTTTTTTTTTATAGAGACAAAGTCTAACTATATTGCCCAGGTTTAAAGTCAACTTCTGAATTAACACTGAAAACCACAGCCAAAATATTCACACAGTAATGTGAAAATGATTAAAAAAAAAAAATATATATATATATATCTATCTCCTTGTAGCTGTAGATTTCAACAGACATTCTGTGGTAGGCAGCACTTTAAAATGTGTGACATGGATCTTAAGTCTGTCTCTAAATATTTAGGTGTCTTTCAATATAGGACTCATTTGGAGTTTGGACTAGCTTATTGGTTCTCAAAGCGTGATACATAGAACAAAAATCTCACAACCTCACAATCACCCGGAAACTTGTTAGACATAAAAATGATGAGACCATACCCCCAGGTCCACTGAATAAAAAACTGGAGGAAAAGCCCAGCAATATGTGGTCTAACCTCTAGATGATTTTGATATGTGGTCAAATTTGAGAACTCCAAATTAGATAATCCCAATAGCCTTCTCATATCTTTAAAATCATAATGCCATTCGATCAATCATCTTGTCTAGAAGTAGCACCATGTTCAATTAAAGTATTCCTAGGCCGGGCTCGGTGGCTCAGCCTGTAATCACAGCACTTTGGGAGGTTGAGGCGAATGGATTGCCTGAGCCCGTGGGTTCAAGACCCACCCGAGCAACTTGGTGAAACCTCGTTTCAACAATAAATCAAAAACTAGCCCGGCGTGGTAGCGCACGCCTGTAGTTCCGGCTACTCGGAAGGCTGAGGCAGAAGGATTGCCGGAGTCCAGTAGGTTGAGGCTGCAGTGGCCAGGAGCGGCCACTGCACTCCAGTCTGGGTGACAGAGTGAGACTCCAACTCAAAAAAAAAAAAGCATTCCTAGTAGTATGAATAAAATGCTATAATCAGGAAGACCACATTCTATTAGTGGTATTTCAAATGTACTACATTCTCACAAATATATATTAGCTTTTCCCAATTAAGCACACATTGTGACAAATGTTTGATATCATTTGAATAATGGGTCATCTCCAAATTAAATCTTGGTTCCCTTCATGCTTATAATGTAGGAACTTACTGTGGTTATTGTGAAAAATCAATCTATGATTTAATGACAGTTAAGGTGCAGGCATTTTTCATCTGTCTCTCAAGACCAGTTGCTCCATACAGCTTTCTCTTTTCTAGCCCCTTGTGAGAAATACTATAATAAAACTAAAAAGGGGGTGAAAACAAAACTACCTGATCAGTTCAAACAGATGAGACACTTTAGGATTTCCACCTACAGGAAATATTGACTAACCAGGATGTCTGAAATCTCATACACTTCAAAGAATTCTAACCCCAATAGATCTGGTCCCAGAACGTGATTCAATAAAGTCTATTACAACAGTTAACACGATGGAAATTGTTTTACCTAAGAACCATAACTCCCAAAGACAAAGTGTTAGAGTTAAGATGATACCTTTAATTTTCCTGAGGTTACTACAAAAGGATAAAAATAATCCTTTCGACATGACAGAAAACTGGATGACGGTCAGAGACCAAAAGGAAAAGCTGCTAAAAACAAAATAAAACAAAAACAGCAGGGGTCAAGTTTAGAAGTCAGCTTTTGCTTTGCTTCCCAAGATAAAGACTCCTCTCCCACCCAACTTGTTTTGACAGGTGACTGCCTTACAACAAACTCCTCCCTCTCTGACTCAGTTCCTTTAACTCAACTTCTTCACAGCCTAACTTTTTCACTGAACAAATGTTCTTATCTCTGCATACCCTTATCCTAGAAGCCACATACAATGACATATTCTTTTTTCTTCTTCTTTTTTGAGTCAGGGTCTTACTCTGTGGCCCAGGCTGGAGTGCAGTGGCATAAACATGGCTCACCACACCCTTGACCTCCTGGGCTCAGGTGATCCTTCTGCCTCAGACTCCCAAGTAATAAACTGGCATATTCTTAGAAACATTTTTAGGGAGGAAAAAATAGGAACATATTTATTTTTATCAGTAAAATAATGGATAATATTTTTTAAAATTCAGAACTATTTTCTTGCTTTAGGCACACACAAAACTGCTTTCATTGAGAATCCCAAAAGCATTTATTTTACAGTACTCAGTAAAAACATATTAAAATCTTCTGCTCTGCCATCCTAGACCTATAAAGAACTTAGTCATTCAAGTGACTAAATTCTGTGTGAAGGTGATTAATGCACCCAGCAGCCTATTTCATTTCCAATTTTCCACTTTCAAATATTTCCTATCAGTATATACATTTCTTACATTAGTTAGATACTTGGCAGCATTCTATGTGAAGTCTTCCAAAAAAATAAAAATTAAATTAAATAAATAAGAGCAAAAGCAAGAGACAGTCAAATCCCAAGTGCCTTTTAAAAAAAGCCCCTCCACAGTACTTGACACATCTTCAGAATTTCCAACACTTTACATCTATTTAAGCAACAAATTTGCTCAAATATAAGAATGAATCTTTTCAAAAGGCATACATTGGAGTAGTTTATCTTAATTTCTACATCAGAATATTTACTATGGCCTCCCAATTGTATTTTGATATTAAACTTGAGATCAGAGTGGGAAAAAAAATGGCAGTAGCGTCATCACAGGCAAAATTCTCTATTCCTCCTCCACCCGGAATACTGAGATGCCTCCTGGGCAGAGAGTACCCATTTTAAGGCAAGATATGTTATTACAGCTTTAAAGAAACCTGTAGCCTGCAATTTCTTTTGGTTTTGTCAAGGGAATAAATCCCTTTGTCAAAAGACCCTTCAAACTTCAGTCACACTTCATAGATTAAGGGATATCAAGTACTCTTGATATATATATGGACATACACTTTCCTTTATTTTGTAGCAGTAATATCACTAAAGATGGCTTTAGGAAAAACAAGAAATGAAAAGTTCATACTGCCTCCTACTGTTAGAAGGGAAAAACTTACGAGGTCAAATATGGTCCCCATTCTACCACATAAGGAGAGCAAGGATATTGTCCTAGCCTGTTTTCTTTTCTTTAAATCTATTTCCAGATCAAAACCTCAAAAGGGCTGAGATATTATCTCCAACCCGTAGCAGATAACACTCCTGGGTATGACTTCAGAATTGGAAACCGTTTTCCCCAAAGAAGTTTTTTACTTGATAGGTGATGTAAACAGGAAAAAAAAAAGGAAGAGAAATTTTTAAAATGACATCCAGATCTAAGGCAAAATTCACAGGTGGTTTCTGCCCTTCCCTTGCTACAGTGAGGTAAACTGCTCCATGTCAGCAGCACAGACCCAATAGACCTGCCCATCTTCTAAACAGAGGATATGACCATACCCAGGGCTTTCTAGACCTTCAGGATCTTCTCCGTACTCAAGAAGTTGGAAGTAATTTCACCCAACTTGTCTTCAAACTTTGACAAAACAACTCTTGAGGGCATCATGCACCTGCCCCATCCACCTCAGCCATGACACGGTATTAAGTCACTGAATATGAAACACAGAAACACAAACAATAGTTCTGGATTTGTTTCTTTAAAAATGACATTTGTATTAAAAGTCTTAAAATGAAAAGACAATGATTAAACGCATGGAATTAAAAATTACAATGAGTTAGAATTCTCTTGGTACATCACAACAGAAAAATTTTGCTCTTTGCTGCTGGAGGAACACCCTATAACAGATAACCAAAGAAATTTTAAAATAACACAAAAGGGGAGCTAAATACCTGAACATTTGAACAAAATGAAGCAAAAAAAAAAAAAAAAAAAAGGCAACAAATTCATTGCAAGAGATGGAAATTACATTTTAAAGGCTGAAAATAATCACGAGATTCTCTAAACAACAGGCCCTATTGTCCTGGCTCCTTCAGGAAGATTACTGAAAGGAAGCTGGGAAGTGGTTTGGGGAATAGCAGATTCTGAGATCTGGTGGGAGAGTTCACAGGTTGGCACCGGCTGGAACAGCTGAGTTTTGAAGGCACTCTGCAGACACAGGGGTGCTGGGGGCCCTGAATCACATTTACAAAGTCTTTGTACTGTATTTTAAAAAGCTAGTCATTAAAATCGGTTCCTGCCAACCGAAACAAAAACAAAAAAAGCTCAACTTAAAACACACACACACACACAATAGTACACACAAAAATGTGCAGATTTGTAACATTTTTTTCACAGCTGATAAAAAAAAATACTACCGTTCTCCCCCCAGATTCCCCTTGGATACAGTAGGTAAACAAAATAGATTTTTTTTCCACAAATATCAGCAGACACTTGCTGGCAGCCCACACTGTATTGGCATCAGTGTTAACAGTCCCAGTTCAGATGTGCAATACTTCAGATTGGATACACTGTAACTAGAATCCAACTTTGCATAGACATCCTCAGAATCGCAAACAGTCATGGGGTTGCCCTTCCAAGCTGGCAGAAAAGGAACCCGATCTTAATTTCCAGCTACTCCTGGAAAACAAGGAAAAAACTAAAGTTTCTTCCTCTCCTCCTGCTCCTTCATATGGTTCCCCCGGACTTCCTTCCATGTATTTAAAACTTGGAACTAGAAAACGGTTGTTGACACACTGACACACACACACACACACACACACACACACACACACAGACAGACAGACACACCCACACAAAAATCCCCCCTCTCCACCTTCTCCCCCTCCTTTTCCTCCACCCCTCCCCCATTATTTAATTTGATTCTTTCCCAAAGCGGAAACTTTTGCTTGTCAGGTGTCAAACTGCCGATGCGATGCTGCTACTGAAACGGGGAAATACGCGTCAACCGAAATCGATGAGAAACGTACAAGCTGCAAAGAGCCACATTTCCACCAGGGTCTCGGATGGTCAGGACGGGACACCCCCCTGATCGGGCACAGGGTGGAGGCGGGGGCCGGCCGGGCTCCCGGGACAACCCCCGGCCCATGCAAAGTCGTCTCCAACCTCCGAGCAGAGGAGCAATCCCACCGAGAGTCGGTGCGTTTGGCTTTTGTGCGCAGAGCGCGGCCGGCGCGCGGCGGCCGGGGGCGCCTCAGAGGATCACGCAGGCCGAGCAGCAGCCCTCGTCGCCGTTGGGCTGCGCCGCGTAGTTCATCTGCCGCACGATCTCGGCGAACAGCTCGTCCACCGAGGCTTTGTTTTTGGCCGACGTCTCCATGAAGGGGCAGCTCCACTCCTCGGCCAGGGCCTTGCCCTCGCCGTACGAGACCTCGCGCTCGCCCTCCAGGTCCACCTTGTTGCCCACCAGGATCATGGGCACGCGCTCGTACCGCTTCACGCGGATGATCTGGTCCCGCATGGGCTTGATGTCCTGGAAGCTCTGCTGGTTGACCAGGCTGTAGACGAGGATGAAGCCCTGGCCGTTCTTGATGTACAGGTCCCGCATGGACGCGAACTGCTCCGTGCCCGCCGTGTCCAGGATCTCCAGCACCGACGGCGACGAGTCCACCTCGATCTCCTTGCGGTAGAAGTCCTCGATGGTGGGGTCGTACTTCTCGATGAACGAGCCGGTCACGAACTGCACGGTGAGCGCGGACTTGCCCACGCCGCCCGAGCCCAGCACCACCACTTTGTACTCTCTCATGGCTCCGTC